GGGACGACCTCCATAGAATTTGCAAAATGTACTTGCATGACCCGCAGAATGCTAAGAATTTAGTCACTGAGCTGAAATTTGTTGACATAGATTACTCTATGTTTAAAAATATCAAGACAGAACCACTGGATGAGCTTGCTGGTATTGAGAGAGGATACGAACAGTATTTAGATCAGAATTTTGTTTCTGATGAAGAATCGCCGTCAAATAGCGAAGATTCGATGTCACAGGACTCACGACCGTACAGTCTTGGAAGTGACGGTGCCGGAGACTTCTTTTTACCGTTACTGAATACACTACCGAAAAATCCGATCCCACGACCCTCAAAAACCTGAGAGAATTTAGACCGGCATTAAAAAGGCACAAGGATAAGGATTCGAACGAAGGCACGAATGAAAAACAGTTCAAGCCTTCTTCTAGCGAACCTCAGCCTTCGACTTCGACAGCCACAGATGAGTCAAAAAACGTAAAACTTGCCACATTGCCCCAACTTCGTGGGCAAGTGGCAAGGGAAATGAAAGTAATGAAAATAACGCTAAAGGATATATTAAAAAAATTACATCAGAAAACAGAATAAGGATCCATGGAGCAACAACCTCTCAAGGAGATAGTATCTGTAAAACCAACAGAACAGACATTGAACAAAGAAACACAAAACAGGCCCTCGTTCAGTTCATCCAGAAAAAAATCTGGATATCAGCAGCTCTCAGAAGAAAGTTCTCATAAGCATACCCAAGGAAAGAATAAAAATGTCTCAGGTCATTGCTCAATACCCGCCACGAAGTCAACCAAGAACCATTACGCGGAAGCATACGCCTCTGATACTAAAATCATCAAAGTCAACTCATCAAATCAAGGTAGTACCTCCAAGCTCCCAGAAAGAAACCAGTACTCCGCTCTCATTGGAACAGAAATTACTGCTGCGCTCTCGGCAAACGCAACCAGTGCTGGAAAACCCAATCAACGAGGTGGCACCAGTGGATTCGCAAGTAGGAGCTGCTTCAATCCGCACCACGTCCAAGCACACTGTCTCCCAAGATTCAAGACTCACATCCAATAACTTCAGTGGAAACTCAGTCTCAAACGCCAGCTATCGGCCAGCAGTTGGTACGCAACACGATACCACAAAGTTTGATAAGCCCACAACCAATCAGCAAGACTCTGCAAGTTCACGACACCCAACCCAACACCTCAAAAGGACCGAGTACACCACAGCCTGTAAGGAACGACAAAATTACGGATCCTCAGCCCAGCACCTCAAGGAAACCACTATTACTACGAGTGAAAACACCTGTGTGGCTCAGTACAGCGGATGTACCTCAACCTCGGGGAACCAGCTCAGAATTAATAATCGCAAAAAGTCAAGCGGTTTTACCCCAGACCAGCAAAGCATCAACAGCAGTGACACCTTCCAAACAGCGAGCCAACATTCTGCAACCCAAGGTGATTACCTTGGCTCAGCATCAGCCATGCCTATTTCAGGAAACCAGTTTACTATCAACATTCCCAGAACTCCAGGCAGAAGTACCTGCGGCCAGCCTAGTAAAAACTACGGCCAAGGAGGTCAGTCTGCCTCAGCCAAGGGAACATCAGGGATCCAGTTCCAAATCAGTTCTGAGAAGCAAAGCGGTAGTATCTCCAATTCCAGTCAACGTGGTCACTCTTCCTATACCAGTGGTACCTCCGGGGAGTACTCCTCGAGTAAAGACGCTCTCTATCCTTCAGATAGTGCCGCCTCGAACAACAAACGCACGGGCAGTACCCCAGCCACCATCTGTCAGTCCGCATTCAACAACAAGACTTACTTCACCACCAGTAGTACAAAAAATGACTGTCAAACGTCAAATTTTGGATATGCCACAACAAATAGCTTATGTGACTCAGCAAGAAGTCAGTCATGTAGTGGCCAGGGATATGACACAACAGGAATTAACATCTGCCAAGCCTCAGGAAGTCAGTCTAACGTTGAAGGATATGGCTCAACATGACCTCCAGACTACGTCTCAGAATATTCGAGAACCCAGTCCTTCAAACAGTCAGACTCTAACAGAAGCTGGGACGAGGGGGATGGACCGACTTATTCAGGCAGCTCGAAATTTCGATGCTCGCCAAAAGGAGAAGCACAATATAACCGTTCAGAAGCAGCGAATCCAAGCAGGCGACCTCCAGGACACACAACTCATACTACAGGCCTCGCCAGAAATGAAGTGCACGCTACAGGAAGTCGGCCAGGGTCAACCATCTTCATCAACTCAGGCAGCATCGTTACAAAAGGACATCCCAATCGCGTCTCCCATGAAGACACATCAGATATTAACAGAAATCTATCCTTGGAGGCTAGAAGGGAGCAGACTGAGCACACCATCCCCAGAATTTGCTCAGTTAGTGCAACAGATAACAACAGAGGTTCACAATCCTTCGACGTTGCAGGAGGACAGCCCGGTTCAACAAATAGAGACCAGTCCACCTCAGTTGCCACTAGAGGACTTGATGGATCAACTGTCTTCCTTACAAGAAACTGATCCAACATCACCATATATCAATCCGCCTCGATCACTGCCAGAGGAACTATTTCAGATCTAAAACCTGGATCACTTAGTCAGTCATATAACTCAAGAAACCAACAGCATGCCGACTACACCTCCACGGGAGTCGCACAAACTTCCAGTAGAGATGAATCTTCGTCTCCAACAAGAAATCAGTCCTTCTCCTACCCTGTTAGGCAGTTCATCTCTGCATGCGATGGAAAAGGATCATCTGCCTCCACAACCCATCTGCCACAAAGTCAGTCCTTCTAAATCAGAACCTACAGTCATAGATCCTCAAAAACTCCGTCGACTACAGGGCACCTTATCATGGAAACAACGAAGATGCGGCGATGCAGCAAATCCAACCAGAATCGGACATGACATTTGATCTTTTTATGGCTCACAATGCTAATGGCCATTCGATTTCTGGTATGTTGTCACAGTCCTAGACGGCTACCTCCTGGAAGGAGTGTGGATTGTTACTTCTTAAGAACTCCTACTGCAAGAAAGGGCAGTCGTGCCGATATCGAGATCCACCGCCAATAAGATCATTCCGGGACGGAATGACTTTACCGAGAGGGCAGTGTGACGATAATAGATAGTACTGTTGGCGCCATCTATTAGGAAACTCTCCTTCTCGTACCAGTGACTCGCCTTCTAGATCTACGCCAGGTGACCTCAAATATTCTAGATGCCGCTTTGTCGCTCGCCAAACCTCTCTCGAAGCAGCGATTCGGAGTATATATAACTCGACGGCCGGGAGATGGAAGCACGGTGCGGGGTACATTAGAGTAGAGCGGAGTGGAGTGCAATCAATGGCGCGGCATAAGAATTAGTTAGACATAAATAGTGGTGTACATAAATGTTCTATCTGGTCAAGTAAAGTAAAGAAGTGCATTTATTTTTGTGGAATCTCGAGTTTTAATCCACACCCAAAAGAACCCAGAAAAACACTACATTATATTCTGCGGTACAAGGGATTATATATTGAATGTATTTCGAATAAAAGACCATCCGCCTTTTGATGCACCAGGTAAGTATTCTAGAAATATAAGTTAACGAATGCAACAAATCCTTCAAAAGGCAACCCTAGCTTAAACTCATACAGATGTCACTCTTTATTGACAAAGTTTAATTCTGGCAAATCAATATTTTCGTCTACAGCTTAGACTATGTGTGTGGTGTGGACATGTAATTATATTTTTCAATACAATACATCTGGTAGTAACAAACAGCATGTGACCACAAAGAATACTGCAAAGCTTGATCGTGAGACTGAAGAACTGAAACACGAAACCATTCCATTGGACGTTGGCAAGTTGATTCAGCAAGGGCGTCAAGCTAAAGGACTCAGACAGAAGGATCTTGCTACAAAAATCAATGAGAAACCACAGGTGATTACTGATGAACGGATTGCGAGCAAGAGGGTCAGCGTGTCGCGCGTGCCAGAAGGGCTACATATTTTAAGTTTAATTAAGATTCCCTATTTCCAATACGTTTATATCTATAGGGGTTCAGTGAATACAGTGTCTCGCAACTTAATCGTGGTATTATTGTCTCAGCCGTTACCTTACCCTTGATGGTAGAGAGTCTCCCCAAAAACAGCTGACTCAAGTCGGGATTATACACTTGTTGCCTCTTGGCCTACTGAGGCAAAAAAATGATTCCACCTGACAACGAACATGTGTTCCACAAAGACAACAAAAACATGACGAGATAATAAATATCCATACGAGCTTGCCAAGTAAAATAAACCTTTGGAAGCTTACGGTCAAAAACAATATACAAAATTTCTTTGTATTGATGAACATTGGTCAGAAAATGATCAAATTTAGTGCACTTGTATAAATGAATTTTCACTGGTTTGTAGTATTTGCAGATCTAAGAGCAAGTGTGGTGGAACGGCCATCTTTGCCCATGAGTCTATCATCTCCGAGGTCTGTCCTATCCATATTAATCATATATATATATATATATATATATATATATATATATTAATCATATTATATATATATATATTAATCAGACAAAAACGTTGAATTTTAACTGGAGAATATTCAATCACAGATTCCAAAGAGAGCTCGTCAGCTCGTTGATAATATGGATAGGACAGACCTCGGAGATGACAGACTCATGGGCAAAGATGGCCGTTCCACCACACTTGCTCTCAGATCTGCAAATACTACAAACCAGTGAAAATTCACTTATACAAGTGCACTAAATTTGATCATTTTCTGACCAATGTTCATCAATACAAAGAAATTTTGTATATTGTCCTTGACCGTAAGCTTCCAAAGGTCTATTTTACTTGGCAAGCTAGTATGGATATTTATTATCTCGTCATGTTTTTGTTGTCTTTGTGGAACACATGTCCGTTGTCAGGTGGAATCATTTTTTTGCCTCAGTAGGCCAAGAGGCAACAAGTGTATAATCCCGACTTGAGTCAGCTGTTTCTGGGGAGACTCTCTACCATCAAGGCTAAGGTAACGGCTGAGACAATAATACCACGATTAAGTTGCGAGACACTGTATTCACTGAACCCCTATAGATAGAAACGTATTGGAAATAGGGAATCTTAATTAAAGTTAAAATATGTAGCCCTTCTGGCGCGCGCGACACGCTGACCCTCTTGCTCGCAATCCGTTCATCAGTAATCACCTGTGGTTTCTCATTGATTTTTGTAGCAAGATCCTTCTGTCTGAGTCCTTTAGCTTGACGCCCTTGCTGAATCAACTTGCCAACGTCCAATGGAATGGTTTCGTGTTTCAGTTCTTCAGTCTCACGATCAAGCTTTGCAGTATTCTTTG